AGCTCCAAGTATGAACGCGTTCAAGAACAGACTAGATAAAGCTATGGAAAAATATATGTTCAGATTTGAAATGCCTAGCTCCTTATCGAACCCGGTGGAAGTCTAGTAGCTACTTCAAACTATCGCCAGTCATGAAAAGATCCGGTCAAATGACACGAGTTTAGATCTATGAACAAGGCACGAAAAGGAAAAAAATCGGTGACAGGCCACATCAGGCCTACATTTCAGCGCCGACATCATTATGTTATGTTATGTTATATTGTCTCCAATTTAATCTTCTCGTCAGGAGAAATTCGACAAATTTCATGCAACGCCTTTCAAACCTCAATGAATTCACTATTGCATAGTCTGCTATGAATCAAGATGGGTTTCAGAGAAAACACGTAGAACCTTCACGGATTTCATTGGTTGTCAGCAACGTTGGATGACCGGAGAAAAAATTAGCTCTCTTAAACCAAGAAAAATTAACTTTTTATGATGGAAGTTCTCCCAAAACAATACTTGCAGTATATTTCGAGCATAATCTAAGCATGTATATTATATGTATATTTTTCAATTCAATTTTGCACATTTATGTTTCAGTAAATGTAGGAACAAGGGAATACAAAAGAAAGGCTACGCTATAAGTGGGTCGGTATATGTTTGTTGAGTCTGGACAAACGATTTGTTTGTGCAGAGGAGGAGGGTAACGAGAACAATCTTGCATGGTAGTGATGAAGCTGACCGAGTATAGCATTTTAATTGGGACGCTGATAAATAGAACGGTGATGTCTGTTGAAGGTAGTTGGTACTGATGACTGGGTAACGAAGATTTCAGATAAGTCGCAACCAAATTTATATAAATTTGTTACGAAATATATGCGATTTAATTATAACATCCAAATTGTGAGCTGTCCTTTAGATCGCGGAGGTAACTTGAGCACGCTGGCTGAGGGAATTATTTTATGCATGGTATTTAACGTGACTGAAGTTAGAGAATATTGTCTTGAGTTTTCTTGACGCAAAAACGCAGCGAGCCTGGCATATGATTTATTATTTTTTTTTATTTATTTTTGTTTCTCGTGTGACACGACCGCATTAAGACTCGTTTTGAAATTGCTGTAATTGACCCTTTTGTAATTTAGTTTGCAATCACCGAAATAATTTGATAAATTCGCAGCTCAGTTGTTTCCAAATTTGTCAATAAAACAATCGGTCAGAAATGAGATCAAGTTAATTCGTCTTCATATACTAAAAAATCAACTTCAATGGAATCAAATGAGAAAATTTTTGTAATATAGCCTTGGTGCACGTCGGACGGGAAAGAAAAAGATAGAAAACAAAACGGTTAATAAATTATAATTAAAAAGTTGGTATGCTGTAATAAATAATCCGAGAAAATACATGATGCATTATTGATCCCTATAGAAACAGAGGGGACCGAAATTTTTTGATTCATGAGGTCATCCCTAACAGGCAAGGTTCTCACACGGTTCAATTGAGAGCCGCAATTGGATGAGAAAACATCATTTAGGTTACAACATTGTTGTAGCTTATAAAAATTTAGTACAATTAATAGAGGGACATTATTTTATATATATATTATAGTATTGTTATCATTTCGATATTATTTTTTAGAATTCTGGGAAGTCACGCGAGACTAGTTGAACAATCCCCCATGTAGAAAAATGAACAATAAAGCAACACGGTAATTAACATAACAACTAGTACAAGATGCACATTATAGGGCCACATATGTGCATGTGCTGTTAAATGGGATACTGATGAAAAGTATTTCCAAGATTATCCCGTAAAATTAATGAACAATATGGAAAAGAATGAGAATTGAGGAGAATAAAGGGAAGGGAAAAAGGAGGAAAAAGGAAAATTAGGGAAAAGAAAAACTCAGGAAAGAAGAAAGGAAAAAATAAACAGAAAGGAAAAGAAAGGAAATGATAATTATTAACAACAAAGCAATACGGTTATTTACAACTCCTAGAAGATGCAGATTACAAGGCCACTCATTATGCAATTGCTGCTGAGGAAAGGGAGTTCCAGGTTCATCTTCGTGGAAAAGTATTTTTTGTGGACTTATTTGTGTTAACGATTAGAACTGCCCCGAAATAAAAAATTTAAACCAAATAGACTTCTAACTGATCGTTGATTTTAATTATGCGTAAGTGAAATTAATGATGAGATTCGGCCTAATTTTCTACTGATTTCATTATTTCACATCAATGAGTAAAGATGCCAAAAAACCTCACCTGAGGTTTGTTTAATAGACTACATGGTATGCGTGGAATGAGCGCAGCACTACAGTAATTCTTCTCTTTATAACGCTTCATCAACGACAGCTTCACTTCATCGCTGTATATAAATCAATGATGGAAATTATTAGCGGATCGTCACTGGTTCATAGGTCTCAGAGAATCGATCGGCAGTGAGAGTATATGAGGGGTTTGTAGAGACTTAAAACAATGAAAATATACCAAACAACCACAATATACGTAAATACATAAATAAGTACAATGAGTTGATCTCCATCGCCGATTTCTGCTATCGCAGGGAACCTATCACCCGCGAGAGGTGAGGCATTACTGTAAGTTTGTTCTTCAGTAAAATTTTCTCTCAGTACGTGCTCGATTAGAATTGAGACACGATATCTTCTTCCGCTGTAGGGGTGTTATCAGCCCTGAGTAACGTGACGGCGTCGTGTACAGAGTGGAAGAGACGGCCGGCGGTGATGGTGGCCAGCGCTCCCGTCACCTCCAGCGACCGCATCACGTCATCTGTGACAAAATTACGTCAGCATGACTTAAATTATAAAATTTTGTGCTCTTCAATTATTGTTTATATGGTTTGTAAATTTTTTAACATGAAATACTGTCAAGACATTCATGGTGAATAGAAAAAGTTGGCAACTTGATATGTAGAACCAAGTTGTTGTTGATATCATCGTAATATAGATACAGAAAGAGGTGGTAACAAAGTTGCATTTATAAGATATTCTCCACGTACAGTTGTAGAACAGTTGATTTTAGTGGTCGTACATATATAAAAGTTAGCATGAGTAATTGAAAAAAACAGGCATGGAAATTTGTACAAGAAAGGTCCTAAAATTGCTATTGGGGTTAACATGAAACAGTGTTAACATCAACGCATCAGTTCTGAGAATATCATGTCATATCATATGGTAATGTCGGCGCTGAAGAATAGGCCTGTCGCCGATTCTTGCACTTTCCGTGACTCTTCACTACCGGTACCGGATCATTTCAAAACTGACGATACCTTGGAATAGCTACTAGATTTTCACCGGGTTCGATATGGTGCTAAGCATTTCAAGTCTGAACATAAATTCCTCAATAGCTTTATCTAGTCTGTTCTTGAACACGTTCATACTCGGAGCGTCAGCGGTGCAATCAGGGCGGCTTTTCCGCATACCGGTGGCTCGAAGCGAGAAGTGATTTCGCGTCGATGAGTCGCAACGAAGTTTTTAGCGCATTTTCTTTTTATAGAAAAAATGCACTATTGTTCTCGCCATGTCCGTCCGTCTGTCTGTCTGTCCGTCCGTCCGTGACTTCAGGTTTTCGTCAATTTTAAGAAGCGGGCGTGTCTGTATCAAAGATACGACATCTCTAGCTCTAATGCACTGTACTATCGCAATGAAAACTGATTTATGCACGAGAAAATGCGCTCTCTGTCACTCACTGCCGTGAGTACTGAGTTATATTTTTTTAGTTTATAGCCGTGGCCCCTGGCGTTGGTTCTTGTTTCAAATTCTAGTAATCCTTCAGGGACCTTGTATAAACCATGAGTTTGCTTGTATACGTCAGTGAGGTCACCATGCAGACGTCGATAACATAGGCTTGGACGCTTCAGAATCTATTAACTTTCTTCATAGACCTTGCCCTTTAAACCTGGAATTATCCTTCTTGCACGTATTAGAACACTCGCTACTAAATTTTTGTCTTTTTCAAGTTTCGGTGACCACACGGCGTTTCCAAACTCTAGCGAGTTTCGGGCGCATGCAGGACAGCGACAAACAACAGAACACGTCACGAAAAGTACAAGAATAGGCAACAGGTCATGGGCCTATTTCTTAAGTGCCGACACTTCTATTCTATTATGAAACTTGATACCGGAAATTCAACAAGTAAAATTTTCCCCCAGTGATTTTTAGGGAGTATTTCTGCAAAACAAATAATGTATATATACACTCGTTTGCGATTACAGTTAACAGTTCACAAACGGAATCCGAGTTCGTATAAAAGCCTTTTAAAACTTTTAGTGCACTTACACTATGCTGTATTCAGCTACTTCCTACATTATTTACAGGCCTGGATCTACAGACATAAAATCTACTAATTACTTGTCTTCCAGCTCCTACGAAGGTAAAGATAGACGGAGGTGCAGGGTAAAAGTGACAAAGGAGAAATTAGGGTAGACCAAAAGCCCAGCAGCACACTACACTGTGCTCTCTCACTAGCTTAAAAATTTTTTTTATTCGGTAAGAAAAACAGATAACCACTTTTACTCGCTTCCACTTTCTATTCGCATTCTCTTTCACTGACTCCACTTCAGTCTTTTTACTGAAACTCTTCAGCAGAAAGTGCGTAAATAGTGTTAACCGGCATAGCGAAAAGGCCGGTTGAGAGCCCGCGTAGCAAGAACGTCCGCCTTGCATAGCACGGCTCAACCGATACTCTAATATAAGAGCTGAGATTGACAACAGCCGAAAAATTTACTGTGTAATATATCAACCATAATACTTGAGTGGGATAAGTAAACAGTAATGCTGACCTGAAACGGAAGCCAAACATAGAGTTATTCCTACGGCACTGTAGACGCCATGCATCCTGGCGAGGTACATAGCACTAGGGGCATCACAGGAGCTCACACCCCTGCAGTCCAGCACGAGGTACTTGATCTGCTTCAGAAAAGGAGAGAAGTGAGTCGTCTCTTGACGGTCGCAGAATAGAGATTTCATAGACCTTTCAATGCTAATTGCATTGGGATTGAGCTGTGATTAAGTTTAACAAAAACTTTATCTCATTTGTACTAAAAGAAAATACACGTTACCATCTCGATAAATTATTAATATTTACGTTTGGATTAACGCGTTTTTCACAAAAATTTGCTTAAAATGGAGCTTGGAATATTTTAAGATTCACTCAGTTACAGAGTAAATTATATTAAAACAAATTATTTTTAAACGGTATCAAATTATTAGTTTGTAAATTCAGACTGAAAATCCGACATGATCTCCAGAATTGAGTGCATTGTTCCTGCCAAATATATTGTAAACTTGATCAACGAGAGAATTTTGTTGGGCCAAAATCTACAAAGCGAAACTAAACTGATAAAATAATGTTAGTTTCATTGCTTTCAAGCCTTATTATATTGAGATGCATGCCAGAGGCCAGCATTGGCCAATACCAGCATATATTTCATACTCCTTAATTTCCGTGCGCAAGCCTGCTACAAGGCAAAGTAGCCTTAGTGATTATTTGCTAAAAGCCAAAGGTACAAACACCCTTCATGGAAATGAACCAGCGAGCTAATGAGAAGCAAGCCACCAATACAATCGCTCTAAGCCGTACATAAACCGCCCAACAGTGCATGAGCACTGAGCAGTAAATATAATTTTAAAAGCAAAGATAAGCGGAATTGAGAAATTTAGGGTTACCCAGAAGCAAATCTTTTGATAAAAATGAGGACAGTTTTGGATGATGCTTTTAGAGTAAAAATATAACTTTCGCGTGAAGTATTTATGTCTTCGATTTTGTGAGCCTCTAACGTTTACAAAGGAATAAATTAGATAAATCAGGTAAATATCATGTCTTAATACAGGTATAAGAAATAAAATGCAAAAAGGACCTACTTCTTTCAATGTGTCGTTGGAAAAATCGGAGTTCTTTTTAGCTTCATCGGATCTCTGTTTCTTCAGAGCCACTGGGTTGATGCCAGACGCCTTGAAGAGATTCGCCTTGAAGTATTCGCGGTTGGCAAAATGCAAGGGGCCATCAATGCTCAAAATCATCATGTCATCCAGCTCCGTAGCCTGTAAAATACGAATACAATATTTTTATTTCCTTTGATTTTACTTTAAGCTCTCAAACACTCAGTTTTTCCTGCTATATAATTTTGAGCAGCAATTTTTTTATATTCAGTGATGGAGTGAACGTCTCGTAGATTTATTGCGGCAGGATATTACTAATCAGAAGTAGCATTGGAAGAGCCAAATTGTACATTGAAGCATTGGCACGTAGCGTAGTCATAGCGCTCAAAAATTTATGAATTATTCGAAACTATGTACATAGTTCTAAATTCGATCCTTACATGTGAGTATCTAAAGTTGGTTGCAAAATTTTCATTTCAGGAGTTTATCATTTAACATTGAGGTCCCGATAACCAAATTACAATATTTTAGTCATTATACCGCATCAAAAATATCCATACCAGGTGCCATCTCAACATACCAGATTTCTTAGATCTGGTGTGATAATATTTCTGTTGGCAACGCTACGTGACTGGCATGACCGGCATATGCCAGTCACGGTCCGTTCTATGACAGGTGCGTTCAACACTTCAGTGTATTTCATATCACGTGCCATGCCAGTCATGGCCCTTTTAAAATATCTTTTGCCTTGATCGTGTCGTGACTCGTGACCGTGCCTGGCAGGGCAGGTGGGTGCCTTTAACGGCTGGTGCGAATGCTTCTATAGAAATACTTATAATTATACTTATAGAATAGAAACGAATATTGGACGGTACCGTGACTTGAACGTGCCCGGAAGTATGGTGTGATGCAAGCCATAAACATTCAGCTGTAGGCCGCTGACTGATTAGCTAGGTTCTGCGTAAGCTCACGGATAAGCAAGTGGGAAGAGTTAACCATATGGAAACGCATGTTGCCTTGGCTCTAGAACAACATAGCCATAGATGTGTCGCTAAAGTGACTATGGGGACAAGGGCAGATGCCGGCATAACTAGCATGCGAGCTCAGATTTTACACAGAGCTACAATTCTCAGAGACTTTGCCGCTCCTTGAAGTAGACTCTTAACTCGCCGTATACGACGTACGTGGCATTCTTATCTTGCAAATACTTCTTCTCTGATTCTCACTTTTGCTGGTATAATCTATTTACTTCTCTGAGCTACGCTCAGGAAGTCGTCCTAGTTTTTGAGTTATTACTTGAGCGAGGAATGCGCATTAAATTAATTAAAATTGCCAATAACAGAGGAAAATCCAATTTACTCTAATGAAACGGACCGAAATTGGAAGCTACACAAAACGTTTCTCTGTTACCTTGTGTTCATTACCAATTTACCAATAAGCAAAATTCATCGAAGTTTGCACGATACCTTATCCATTTATGCTATGCGGAGGCCCTTCATGCAGTTGGAAGTGTAAAATCAAAATTCAATTGGTTATATCATTGGTCATAACAATTTCACTTGTTTGAACAATATCACATTGCAATTATATTTACAGTTAAAAGAACTATCAATAATAATTTAGCTTGCTGTTATGACACTAGTCGAATTCACACTAACATTCTTCGCTAACTACAACAAATCTTACTTTTTTATAGGTATTGATGTCCAAGTAAAGGTCAGTGCCGGGAAGCTGGCCCAGTTTAGTTATCTTTGGGTGCTGGCCTCTGATGACGAGGACGGCGATCGCCATCAAAACTCCAATAAGAAGACCGAAGTCAACGTCAATGAGAACGACAGCCGAAGCCGTCACGGTCCAAAGCATGGCGTCTATTTTGCTGACCTTCCACAT